GCGCCCTGGGCGGCGTTCGCGTTGCTGACCACCTTTCCCAAGTCGCGTGACGTCGGCGACTTGGCTCGAAGCCCACGACGCATGATCTTTCCCGTCGTGATGAGTCGACCAAATCCTTCCTGCAAATTGGAAAATTGAATCATCGCGCAAGAAAAAGTCATTGAAACTTCGGAAGATCGAAAACGCAAAATTTGCCTCATTTCCAGGCAAAATCTGAAAAAATTTCTAAAATATTAAAATAATTTCATGAAATTGTTTAAATTACTCTTCAGATGATTTGATGAACCTTGGATTCATGAGCTCGACAAGAGCGTTCAACTGGAGAAATTTACAACACACTCACCAGATATCAATTCCTGTGATTTTAACTCATTTTGAATTCGAAGCAAGAAAATTTCAACCGTCTTGAACTTCTGAAAATAGTCTCGTAAACCATACTAAACAATAATATTTCGTATTCCGCTGCTCGTCTTCCAATCCAATCGAAGTGCTTTTTCCTTCGCATTATACACTCCACAAAAAAAAAAACCGAAATCGTCGGAATATCCTCTCAATGATTAATATGCGAAGCGGTAATTGAACTGTCAATATGTGATTTGTCGACCAACACGTACGAGGCATTTTTAACATTTTTTTTTTAAATCGAACCGCAATGGAGAGTTATACATAATTACAGGACTAACCAGTACTGTAAAATTTTTATCGGCTCGGTTACCAATCAACTCCAATTGGCTTTCGCAATCAACTCCCGATACGATTCGGCGAAATTGCAGAGAAAGTTATCATAACCCAACTTTCATGAGTCATGACGTTTCAGGGAAAGTACCAGAATACTCAATAACCCAAATGCAGATCGTTCGAATTGAGAGGAACGTAGTTGAAAACATGACTATAATGCATGCGAAGTTCGCGTCTAAAAAAGGTACATATCTCAAAATTTCTGCATGGAGCTACGAACACCTTCATTAAATGAAAATGTTGATCAGAGTTTATAGATACTGTACAATATTCTGAGGATTGACAAACCTGACTTGGGACACAAACAAGATGTGCACCTTACTTAGCGGAAATGAGTATGGATACTCTTTTCATACGGCTACATTTGCTACAGCTAGAGTTTAAAGAAAACTGAGTTTGAAAAAAAAACTGCTAGAAAATCATTTCATGATCAGTATGAGTAGTATGACTCCTTCCATTCAGACATGATTTCACGACCTCGTATCAAGTCTGTTCCACACATTTATCCGAAAAATTAACAGAAAAAAGAAAGCGTCGTTCACATTTTCATTCTGAAAATTTCCTTTTGTTTAGACTTCGGGCCGTGTTCTAAACGAATCTCCGATTCTAGGAGCAGTGCTCAACGCATTTCTTGTTATCGTCAACCACAACTGGTAGTCGTAAAAGAACCTTTGATTATTCTTTTCAATTATCACGTTAAATCGATGAAGTAATACTACTGCTTGAAAGTTCGCATACAGGTTTTCCGTAGACATCGCGGAACGATTTTATTTATAAAAAAATGAAAAAAAACGGACGCAAAACTCGACATAAATAGTTAATCCAAAAATAAACATGAGAAGGATGGATAGAAATAAGTTCTATTCGCGAATTTTATACCTCCGGGAAAATTTCTGAATACGAAACAAAATCCTGACCTGGTGAGAGAACGCGTAGCCCGATCGCAAGGAACGTCTCGAGCGTCGGATAGCTGAACTGATTCGGTGAAACTCTTGCGGTTGGTGGGTTCTGTAAAAACAATGAGAACCGATTATAAAATGTCATAACTGACCAAATATCCAGAGAAATTTCGTACCGTTTGGCTTCCCGCTGCTTGAGCCGAACGCGATCTGAAAGCGTCGGATAAATATCGTAGAAGTAGAACCTCTTCGCAATTATAGGCAGAATCAAGATTGCTATGATGAGGAACAGCGTGAACCAGAAGTTCGCATCACCCATAGCCTGAAAGAAATACGTGCGGATACCATTGAAAAATAGATGGACTTGGGAAAAAAAACTTAGGACTTTAATAATCTACAACAGGAAAAAAAACCTCTTCTCAGTTAACTCATTCATTCGATATTTTCAAGCAATTTTTCATGGCTTCCGATTTAATCCGCGACGAAAAATCGAAGTGAAGGCTCAGCTTCGATTGCTTAAAAAAAAGCATGGATGTATCATCTTTAAACTATATACAGTGAAAACCGATTTCCAAGTGGGTGAATAAGAGTTTAAATTACGTTCGGAAAATACGTACTATCGATTATCATAAGCTCAAGATTGAGATATTCAATTGTGCTGAATAATGAAAGCGAAGGCAACTTTTCAAATTAAAAATACAATATCAAGTGGGCGGATATTCAAAAATTTTCAAAAAATCACACAGACGCATAAGAACAGAAACACTAATCAGAAAAATACACTCATAAAATTCTCTTCCACAGGACGTTCAATTTCAATACATTCGTGGTACTCAATAAGACCCCATTATCGGCGATTCATTATGATTTCAATCAAATCCAATCATTAAAATGAAGGAATGCATTAGAAAATTCGTAGGCGGTATTCAATTATCTGCGTTTGGGGTGGTCATTTCAACGAAATGATATATTCCCTCCTCTAAAATTACAGTATATGTTTGAGTAATTATGTTACATGAGTCTTAAAATCATCTATTCTCTGAGAGGTGATCACTTTTTTGCCGCTTTCAGTAATTGAAAAAAAAACAGTGCACTGCTCAAAAAAATCTTAGGAGACATATTTCTTCTTCATGAAATTTTATTAAATTCTGAAATGTAATAAAATTACAGCAAACATAACTGGATTCTAAAAAGTCCCCCTTGATTGCGACAATTTTTATAAATTTTATCCACTATATTTGTAGATCTCAGCTCTACCGCGGAAACATTCGTAATACTCATCGTACAGACCTAGCCTAGTTGATGAACGTACGGACTTTAAAATTAAGACGACAAAAGTTGACTTACTTTCTTCAACGATCCGATGTACGACGACCCGAAAATGTAATAATAGGCGTAAGTCAGGGTGAAGTACCACAGTAACGACGCAAATAACGTGATGAAATTTATTATCGTCCAGTACGCGGTCTCCAGTGCCACCTACGAGAACAATACCCGAATTAAGCATTCATTCCAGAACAACAGCTTCGCTTGAAAGTCATTCAGACAACAACTACTCACTTGTACGGTAACAACAATCACAAGTATCGTGGCAAGAACGGAACCGAAAAGCATGAGATCCGACGTCACGTGGCCTTCAGGAGCCAAAGCATCGTGATACGCACCTGAAATA